GCAGAGCCCTGAGCCCCCAGCTGTTGTTGGTTGATAAACATGTTTTCATGTCAAATAAACAAGAACTATTTTGTCCATTTTAAATACACAGATCTTATTATTTTGTAAAAACAAAGGAAAAAAGTTCTTAGTTGTCATTTTTTGTGTAATTCACCAAAAATATATTTTCAGGACCCCACCTTGATGCTTCAGGACCCCACTGTGGGTCCCGACCCCAACTTTGGGAACCACTGCGCTATAGAACCCTGTGGCACAGCCTGAGCTTTAGTGTCCTTTACTTTTACTTTTATACTTTAAGTAGTTTTAAAACCAGTACTTTTATACTTTTGAGTAAAAATCTTGAGTTGACACTTCTACTTCCAAAACAGTATTTTTAAACCCTAGTATCTGTACTTYYACTTAAGTAATGATTGTGAATACTTTTGACACCTCTGGTTCACTGAATAAAAAGGCTTCAAAGTCACCTGAATTTAGATGAATGTGCAAACACTCGTCTGTACCTGGTCCTGCTTGTTGGTGTGTCGCAGCAGGTGTTTGAAGAAGTCCAGGCGGGAGCACTTCCTGACCAGGATCAGGTCTGTGGTGCCGTCAGCCAGGTGGGCAAAGGGCGACAGGCCTTTGGGACACCGGGGACACGCGCAGCTCATGCTGGCCGAATTGACGGCGACAAATTCACCGTGAACCGTCTTCCATCCTGAAACACATCAAGAAAAAATATAAATAAAAACCCAAACCCGTCATTCTAACATCACTGCGCTACACGACAAACGGTTAACACAACAGAATCTGTGTCAGCTCCTGGCTGTCGAATCTCAGCTGCTGTCAACTTAAATCCTTTTAAAACCTTAAACTGAATCACAGATGGAGACAAACCAAACGTTTTTTTTTTTTTGTTTGAGTTCACGTCAGGCAAGAAATATTTGTTGATGCAGAGGAAAAATAGAAAGAGTGCAGCACAAATCAAGTTGTGCTGAGCAAGTGGTTTGACCCAAAAAATAAATGAATGAAAAAGACTTCATTGCACACTTCTGAAGCAAACACTTAAAAAAGATTGATTTTATTGAAGAATTTTACTCTGTGTTTTGGTGATAGAGTGCATTTGTCTGTTAGCAAAATATCTCATTGAGAAACTAATTATTAAGCCTGAATCAAGATGGCCGCTGCTGCCGGCTGACCTTTAGAAAACACACAAATCAGTCCAAACTGCATTTCCTGTTTTCTATTTTTTTAAACTTCTGTTAACTTAAGACATGTCTTTAGAGCATAAACACATTTTGTATTCTCAGAAGCCTCTGAATCTTTGCTAAAAGCTCATAAAAACATCCAAACAGTTAAAACAAGTAGTTGAATCAGAAATAAACTTAAGAAAAAATGACGTCAACTTAAATCTGTACAAACTTCAATCAGTAAAAATGTTTCAATCCTTTTAAAATGTTTTTAAATATATCAGAAATGTAAGTCAAAGCAAATAACAAAGTAAGTTTGAAACATTTTTCAAAGTTTTTTAACTTAAAATTTGATTAAATCTGATTCAGTTTTATTTGCTTTTAGCTACTGTTTTCCTGTTTTTAGCTACTGTTTTGTCGCGTTTAGCTACTGTTTTACTGTTTTTAGCTACTGCTTTGCTGATTTTAGCTACTGTTTTGCTGTTTTTAGCTACTGCTTTGCTGATTTTAACTACTGTTTTGCTGTTTTTAGCTACTGTTTTGTTGCTTTTAACTACTGCTTTGATGTTTTTAGCTAAAGTTTTGCTGTTTTTAGCTACTGTTTTGTTGCTTTTAACTACTGTTTTGCTGTTTTTAACTACTGTTTTGTTGCTTTTAACTACTGTTTTGCTGTTTTTAGCTACTGTTTTGTTGCTTTTAACTACTGTTTTGCTGTTTAGCTTGTGTTCAGCAGGTTTTAGCTTGTGCTGCTGCCTTTAGCGTTCAGCTTATTTTGCTCTTTTTATACGACTATGTTCATTTCAGCTTCTGTTTTGCTCATTTTTTTGTCTTTGTTCTGCTTGTTTCGACTTTAAAATCTCCCTTTCAGCTTTTTCAGCTCATTTCAGCAAATTCTTCCAGCCCGCAGCATTCACCCTGATTTCTTTAGTGTGGATAAAAGCTCTGGTGGTGGACAGGTGACAAACCACTGCCCTGTTCCTCACAGACTTACTTTTAGCCTAAGGTGAAGCAGAGCATAAGCAGCTGAAAAGTGATCACATGCTATCAGATTAGCTTCTGGCTGGTTTTACGAGCCCCTCAGAGGG